AGGGATCAGTAGAGAGCCACTGAGACACGTTCAAATGTCTCTCCATGGCAGCTCTGGAGTGTGTTTGTTTGTGTGTGTGTGTGTGCCACTCAAGTGTGGCGGGGGCAAGGTGCTAAAAGCTGTTCACATATTTATATAGCTGACTGTACCATATATGGGCAAACATTTAAACAAACAACAGCAGCAGACACTCTGCTTAGAGGGGGTTGGGCGGGGGGAAAGAGCCACTATACGGGTGCTAAAAATGGGTCACATTCTTGTCTCGTGCACGCTGCCCCATGAATGGCGTTCATTTTGTGGCGCCAACGCGTTGCAACTTCCACTGAGAGAAAGAAAAGGTTCTGGCAGATGTTTAGAGAACAATTAGAGAACAATTTGAGGTGATATGAAATGGCAGAAGGAGTAATTGATGTGAAATGGAAGTGGAACCCTAAGACGCCTAAGCACAATAGATAGTGCCATGCCCGAGCCCTGCAATCGAGCCAAGATAACCCACAGGAAATCGTCATTTTCCGTCACTGACAGTAGATCTGTACGCTCATGGGAAACTATGTCATAAACAGCTATCTTTCAAGATCTCTCTCTGTCTCTCTCTCGCTCTGAAATCATCAAAACTCTTTCTTTTTATTACATTACATGTGTTTCCTTTTTCTCCAAGTGTCTGGGTCCAGCACACCAAAGTAGCTCTCTCTCTAGGGGCCCTCAACAGAGGCTTCTCTTACCTCTCCCGCTGCAGGCTCGTTAACACTTTTCCCAGCAGCAGAAGCAGCAGAAGCAGCTTATTTATTGCATATCAAGTGACGCCTCAATCCCAGGGCAGTCCATGCAGCACCAGCACCAGAAAAGATATGAAGGGAGGGGTAGGCTGGTGGCCAACTGTCCAATGTCTGTCTGTCCGTCTCCATTCTGCATCGTTTTGTGCCAGGCCAAATGATGTCGTCAACGTCGCTTCAGAAATGTTTTGGCATAAATTAAACAAGGCCGCCGCACTCTCGACTCCATTCCTCGGGCCCTGGTTCCCGGGCATTGTCCAGATGGTGATGGTGATGCAGCCGGAGACGGAGGGAGGGTATTTCCCCCATGGGGAACCGTTCCCTTTCCTTCCATTCCCTTTCCTTCGGCTGTTTGCATTGCATTTTGTCACACGTGGAGAGCTCAAAAAGCGACGCCAATTTGTCTGAAATGTTTTGAATTCTAAGCGATTCTGAAGAGGAGGACAGGACGATGACAGGAGGAGCAGTATGTACCAGAATGGGCGGTGGGGGGAAACGGAACTGGCTGATGATGGCCATATCTTGATGGGGCATGCGGATGTGTTGCCTGGCGTTGAATGCGGGATGTTGTGTGCCCTTTGTGTCGTCTGCCATATTTACCTAGTGGAGCGTACTCCTGGCTGGAATGTGCGGCAGGTTGCAGGTTGCCCTGAAAAGTCCCCCAGGGTATTTGGCCAGCTCTTGCACCTCCTCCACCTCCACCTCCCCTGCTCTGATGTTTGATTTTTCCATTTTCGTACTCCCACTACTGCCCTCAGTCCACCCTCCCCCACGGCGAGAGTCAATCAATCCATGCCTCCCCCACCCCACAGTTCCACTCTCACTCCCACTCCCATTCCCTCTCCCTCTTCCGTGTGAATTATGTGGCGATAAAGTTGGTGCAGAATGGTGCAGGATGGTGCACGGTGCAACTTGTTACCCATATTGTGTGGCAGCAGCATCAGCAGCAGCAGCAGCAGCCTGAAAGCGAAACACCTGCTGCAGATGCCACAGTCTGTCCGTGGTCCAGGGCAAGCTCCAGGGTCTGTCGTCTCTCTGCGGACCCACTCACAGGACCCATAGCCAGGCCAGGCCAGGCCACGGCCACGGCCAGGCGGCTCTTGGCTGGTCTCTTCCCTCACACACGCTGATCTTATCGCCGCTGCACTGCACACACCCAAAACGAAAGAGTTCGCCCACCCCCCAAATAAAAGAGAACAAAACATGAGTGGTGGAGGGGAGTGAAGGAGAAGCAGAGCAGAAGAATTGCACTGCTCCCGCACTCCCCCTCAATTTCGTGGGCTGCTGCTGCTGTGCTACACCAACACCAATACCAATACCAATACCAGTACCAATGGCCCGCGCTTATCTCTTCGCTGACTTTGGGGAATGATGATGATGATGCTGCTGCTGCTCTGCTGCTGCTGCACTGCTATCCCTGACCATCACAGCGATTAAGCTGCTCTCGTGCCCTCGCACTGACCAATGAGCAAGGTGTAATATGTAGAACCCGGTGGTGGCAGTTGCCTTTCGCTCTCATTGTGTCACACCGAAATGCAACTAAAACCAAAGATGAGAGTTTTTTCTGGCAATTCCTCACCCTATTTAAATACACCTTGCACGTGAGAATGATGATAATGATGATGTTGTGGTGCTCCTCGCACTGCCTTGGCCTTGGGCATTATTCTTGCACTCACTCCTCCATCACCTCTCTCTCTCTCTCTCGCTCCCTGGTTCTCTTGGTGTTTCTGTTTCTGTTTTTGTCGCTGATTCGTTGCCTTTACCTGTGTTTTTTATTCTTCGCTTTTGCTTTGGCCTCTGCTCCTGGTACTCCTCTACTCTTGCTTGTCTCTCCTTGGCCCTGAGACTGGGAATGGGACTCGGCCAAGTCAAGGGCCGCTGCTCGCCTCATTGTCTGGCCACGATGCGGCTGCCCGAGAAGCCGCCGGTAGATGTTGGCCCCGCTAATTTCACCTTTTCACAGATCTCCCTGCCTCTCCGCACTCCGCACTCCCTACTATCCACCTCTATCATCAGGCTGCTCCTTTTGCAACGTTCGTTCGGTGTGGAGTTTGTGTGTGTGGGTTGCTGCGGCTCAGGCGCATTCTTGGGCCCATAGTTTCAACGTCTTCTAGTTCTTGAGAATTTCATTTTAATGAAGGGCATATGCCCTCTGTCAATAAGTTTGAGCTAAAGAGACATTTTATATGTTAAATTCAACCGCTCTAAGCCGCCAAAATGCGGCATACTGTCCCCATACTTGCCTAGAGTGTATTCCAAAGTCGATTTGAGGGCCGTCTAGCTGAACTTCTTCGCTTTTGCTGCTGTCTTGGCTTGTGGGAGGCTCATGAAAAATTGAGCAAGTGCCGTACTTGCAATTTCAACAGCTCATCTGCCGCAGCGCCAAACAATTTCTTGCCCCAAACTTCAGTCTTCAGTTTCAGTCTTCAGATTCTCAGCTTCATGCACAGCTTTGGCAGTGGGCTGCTGACAGGCCTCGAAAATTATGAAATCCTTGCGCTGGGGATGGGTGCTGGGGCTGGGGCCGCCTGGGTAATTTCCACTCTCTGAATCTTTCAACTGGGGAATGCTTAAAATTTAGTTTTATTTTGCAGCAGCACACAAAATATATAATTTCCATTGCGGTTGGAAAAACAACAAAATAATTGCCCCTCGATTGTATTTTGGGGTGTGAATTATGCATGAATGAAAATTGGCAAACGGAACTGATTTTAAATGCGGAAACTTGTTCAAAAGAAAGAAAGAAAAAACCATGTGAATCGGAAAGTTAATTGTTTAACTGAACAAAGGGATGAGCGGAGAGCTTCCACAATTGCTGATTGTGGTCTGATCTCACTCCAATTATTGCTTACGCTTGATACGACCAATTATTGTCATCGCTAATAGGGAGATTCCTTCTTCCCCCGAGTGCCGCCTCTTCGTCAATAATCGATTCAAGCATTTGGAGTTCTGTCAATGACAATAACATCCTTCCTTCCTTCCTTCCTTCCTACGTCAAATGGTAGTCTAGTCCTCCAAAAATACGAATTCAATTACGTAGCGCAGCAGGAGACATCTCTCCATTCATCTGTATCTCTGTGTACGAAGCGAAATACCTCTTCTATGTCATGTCAATGACCAGGTTCTCAGAGCTCATCGCTCACTCACCTGGCGACCTGTCACCAGCGACAGGCACAGGAATAGCAAGAGGGACTGGGACAGGGACAGAGGGACATCGACAGCAAGGAGGCAAATGGGGCACAAAGACAAAGTTCCAAAGATAAAGCTCTCTCCGGCATGAATATGCAGCTGATGAGCACTTTCCTTTCCCCTTTCCTGTTCCCTTCCATCCATCCATCTGTCTATGCTATGGATGCGTTTGCCTTAAGCTCCTGCTGCTCACATTCCTCACAGGCGGGCGACAGTCTTTTGCACTTGCCCGTGCAGTTTGAATGCCCCAAAGGAAGTCAGGGTAATACGGATTTGGTGAGAGGTTTGTAAAAGAAGAAACTGCTATTGAAATTACTTCCTAATCGTTATCAAAATATAGTTCTAAGACTGGCAACCACTGGAAAAGGAATACCATAAAATATGTAAACTTTCCAGGCCACGAAAGATCTGAAAAAATATGGAGGATCTGAAGAAAGTCTAACGAATCTCAAAAGTTAATTCACTATCAAGAATCAGCATATTTCGAATTGAATTTCACTAGTTTCTAGTGTCGCACAGATCTTCTTCTGCTTGTGCACCCTGGGGCCCCACTGATTTTTAGAGTATCAAAATCGTCTTCACTCCCTCCTCGATAGTTACTTCCGTTCTTTCTGTTATTTTTTTTCTACTGAAGGAGGGAGTAAAAACATTGTGAAGCGAGTCATAGATTTCCGTTTGTGTGTGCGCGCCTCGGAAACAATGGCATTTTCATGTTGCACGTAAAACGAGAGAGAAAAATAAACCAAAACGGTGGCAGGAACAACAATTGATAACGACGAAAGAGGACAGGGTATGGATAGACACTCGCACAATATACTTTTAAGTGCAATTTCATTTCAAGCATCGATATTCCACTGCCACTGGCACTGCGACTGCCACTGGCACTGGCGCCTTCTGCTAAGTGAACACAAAAACAGAAAGAAAAAAAAGAATCACCACAGCGATAGGAATATGGCAACCAAAGTGGCCCTAAAGATTGGGGACTTCGGTGGACTTCCTGTCAGAGATAAGCCGAGAAAAAAGTTGCCTACCAGATCTGTATAAATAGTCGGGGAGGCCTGAGGGTAAGACACAGTTCAACTGAAACCCTCAACATGGTAAGTAATCCACGAGAAAGAGAGAAGGTTTCTCTGGGTTTAATCGTGGACTCTCTCCCCAAGCATTCTCTGCGTCTACTGGTTCTACTTGGTCTTCTGATGGCAGCGGCTCAGGCCAGGATCATTGAGAGTGAAGTGGCGACGGAACAGGAGAAGGTGCCACCCGCCCAGCAGATTGGCGCTTCCCCGGAAGCAGTCAAACCCGTGGAAGTGGAGAAACTAAAGGAAAACCTAGGGATTCAGGAGAACCAAGTGATTCCGGAGGAAACGAAAGGAATCCAGGCAAACCAGGGAACCCCAGAAGTAAAGCCTGAAGTCAACCAGCAGGAACAGCAGCAGAAGGAACAGGTTACAGGTCCAATCCTGCCTAAGGACGAGCAACAGAAGGGACAGGCAGAACAGCCAAAGGAACAGGCGGAGCAGCCAAAGGAAAAGGCAGAGCAGCCAAAGGAACAGGCAGAGCAGCCAAAGGAACACGTAGAGCAGCCAAAGGAACAAGCAGTGGAGGGGAAGGGACAGGTTAAAGGTCGCGAGATCGAACTGGTCTTCGAGCAGCCCGGACAAGTCCTACTGCAGTACGACAATGTGGGCCAACTCCAAGGGCTACCCAATCTGGACAAGATCTTCAAGTATTCGGGAGTGCAGCAGCAGCTGAATGCCACCGATGCACAGTACTTGCAGCTGTTCAACAAATTCCAGACGGCCCCCAAGGTGGAGTACGTCCCCGCACTGAACACGACGGGCGCCAATGCCACACAGCACATACACAATCACACGCACTACTACCAGAGCCAGAACCAGAAGAAGCCATTCCCCTTCCTGCCCAATCTGTTCGAGAAGCAGGAGACGACCTATGTGAACAGTACTAGTCCTTCGGGCAACGTGACCTATGTGTATGAGGAGGGAAAGCCGTCGGGAGGAGGCGCATTTCCATTCCCTCCACTGCCCAATCCCTTCACCGATTTCCCCAAGGTTGTGGGGCTCAGTTTGGTGCTGCTGCCCAATCCCTTCTACAAGGAAAAGTCCTACAATGCACCTTCGTCCAATTTTAGTCCCACCGAATCCACGAGAACTTACTTTGAGAAGTTCCGCGGCTTTGCCGACGAGTCATCCGCCAATCAGCAGCAGAATCAGCCACCGAAGACCGGCAATCGTTTCTACCTGATCTCCAATCCCCTGCTGAACCACGCATCCGAGGAAGGTCGCGGCGAGAAGAACCACAACACGAATGTCCTGCTGCCCGTGAATCTGGCTGCCTTGCCGCTGCTGGTGCCTGCCCCAGAGACCAACCAGGAGACGTCGTCCAAGCAGGAACCGACTGTGGGACACATTAAGATCGAGGATCTGCTCAAGACATCCAAGTTCTATGTGGGACAACCGCTGCAGTTCCCCACCGGCAATGGCATTGGCATTGGCATCGGCAGTGGACAGAAGCAGAGCCAGGATGCAGCCATTCGGCAGTTGATTCTCGCCCAACTCAACCAACAACAGCAGCAGCAGCAGCAGCAGAAGCTGCAACAACTCAAGCTGCCCCTCAAGGACGAACGTCGCTCACAGGCTGCTGCCGTGCCTGTGGAGGAGGGAGAGGAGAGCTCTGTGCTGTTTGCAGTGGAGATACCCAAACCCATCTATCGCTTCTTCAAGGGGATCTTCGGAGGATTCTCGGGCTAACTAACGGAACTTCTAATGAACACCAGAATGCACCAATCAACGACCAAGGAACCCTTCGCATAACTAGACTTAATTATTTCACCTAAAACTAAAGCCTCTGCCATGGTATCCATATGATTTCCAAACGGTTTTCGCATAGAATAATTCTCCATCTTTTTGCAATATAATAATAAAAGCTGCTGCTCAAACAATCAGCGAATATTTCTTCCTTTCGAATGTGTCCCAGCAATGTATCCAAGCAGAATCTATAAAGAGAGAAAATATTTAAATTAGTTTTGCACCTGCTCCAAACGAAACATCTTTAATTCAGAGACACATTAATGAGGATTCCCCCAACTGAAAACTCATGCAAATATGATAAATGTGTGCTGTGCATTTAGGAATCATCTTTCTGCTCCGCTCTTCTGGGTGGGCGGAGGTGTCTCACATATTAGGTTATAATCATAATCAAAATGTGAGAAAACCCATCCATCCACAGATGGAAAGATTCAGCCATTATGCAAAATATATATATTTTCCACATGAAATGCATTCATGCCTCCTCGAGCAGACCGTGTCCCTGCCCTATCCGTATTCCCTATCCCTTTGGAATCTAGTATTTTCATTTCATTTCGTTGCCAAAGCAGAAGGATGTTCTGCTCATACATACATATACATAAGCACATGCATCCTTTTGCCGTTTGCCATTTTAATGAATACATAATTAGTCTTTTTGCCAAGTTTCCACTCGTTCTCTTTATCCCTCTTTATCACTGGCCGTGCCGTACTTCTACTCGTATTCCTGCCACTGCCAGTGCTACTCCTCCTGCTGCTGCTGCTTCTGCTTCTGCTTCTGTTGCACCTGTTCAAATCATTTCACATCTCTCTGAATTTAATGCTCATGCAGCAGCACGTTCGGACCATGCAGCACTGCTGCATGTGGCAGTGGTTCTGCTGCTCCTCCTGTTCCACTTATTGGTTTACTCTATACTGGCATGCAATATGGAGATAATGTTTGCTCTTCGGCAGAGCAGCAGCACCGGCAGCAGCAGCAGGCACATAATTGCCAGGATTACGCTGGCTCATAAAGTTTTCGCCGAGCATTTTGCAATTGTGTTTGCCTTTCACTTCAATATGCTGGGAGAAAATCATAGCGAGAGAGAGAGATATATGGTTTATTTAATATTTAATTGATTTCAGTGGCAGTTTTTTTTTCCATTAGCCAGGATTGCTCCCATTCCCAGGTGCTTCCCAGTGGTCATTGTCCTGGGTAGCCTTTGTTTTGGCCAAGTTGCTGAAATTTCAGCGCAGTATTTAAATAAATTCTCATAGGGTTGGTATCTGTGTTAGCGGGTTGTACGTGCGTGCCACTGGACCGCGGTAACCACGAATCAGCCTCCACTCATCGTCTTCATTTTCATGTGGCTCCCACGCGGCGTATACTTTATAATCCTCCTTCTATATGGGAAACCGACTTTAAACTGTGCAAAAGGGCAGAGAGGCAAAAAGGGAAATAAATTAATAACTCATGTTCAAGTTGTAAGCCGCATCCTTTGCAGCCAGGGAAGGCCAGGCCAGGCCAGGACTTCTGCCGAGGCCCCCAAGTTTATTACTCAAAGGAATTGGACAGCGCCCTAAAAGTAGGAGTAGCAGCAGCAGCGGCAGCGGATGCCCATAAATATATCATGAAATCAAAAACTTTGCCACAACTTATTCTGCTGCTGCTGGTGCTGCTTCTTGTGCTGCCTGCCACTTTGTTGGCTGTTCTTTTTGATTGGGGCGCCACTTCGAACCACACTTTCTGACCCCCACCCCCACCCTCGTAAGCTTGCGTGTAAACGTGTGGGGCAAAGTGCTGGCCTGGCCACACGAACAGAAACAAGAACAGAAACAACATGCCACTCTCTGCGCCCTGTCTTTCTCTTTTCAGCTCACAAGCAGAGGAGTAATGCGTTTCCGTTTCCGTTTTCCCCAGCTCCTTAATGCTGCTCCATGTTGCTCCTTGGTTGCCACTCAATTCAATAAAACTTGTGTCCATTTCATTTAAAATTCTCTATTCTATCTCCCTGCTCTATGGAGGAGGTGGCCAGGGGTCTAGCCTCTGCTGGAGGTTTTGTGGTGTCCCGGTACCGGTCCCTGCTCGATGGTCTCGCCTCGCAAATTAATGGTGTTAAAATTAGTGCCGTAGACGGAGCCCAGCCCGCATCATCCTTCTGGCTGCCGGCTGCTGGCTGTAGGGGAAAACTTTGCCATTTGGCACTCTCTTCTATTTATTTAGTTGTCACTTTGTTGAAAATTATGCCTGCCGCCTGCCTGGTTGCTGGTTTGTTGCTACTTCGCGCGACACGTGTAACTGGCTAGCAGGTTCTGCCCAGAAAACTCACCTTAAAGTTTTCATTTTGCCCCAGAACTTTGGACAAACTTTTCTACCCCCAACTTCTTACCTTCTTTTTTCTTGCACTCTTTCAGACTCGACTCAGGAGCGTCGATTTTTTGGTATCCTACGTTCGACCAAACGGAAGGAAGGTAAGTGAGAACTCCGGGTTTTGGGGCAGGGAAAAACAGGGTAAAGAGACACCCGAAAAACCGAGAAACCGAAAAACGAAAACCGAATATTTCCCTAATGAAACCAATTAGGCAAACAGCAAAATGGCCAAAAATTGTGGCTGTGAAAAATGGAATGAAAATGAAAAATCAAAGGCCAGACAAAGGGTAAACAAGCCAGCAGCGCCAGCAGCAGCAGCCGCTGAGTGAGAAAAAAGGGAGAGTGGAAATGGGGAAAATAAGGAGATTGGTTCAATTACGAAATGAACACACAACAGAAACAGAATCAGGGAAAGAGTTTACGTTGGTTGATGGATGATTTTACATTTAAATGTTTTGTGGCACATCCAACAAACGAGATTTATAGAGAGAGAGAGAGAGAGACGAGGGAGAATAATACATTTATTGTCTCATAATTGCAACTATTGATGGCTTTTACAGTTGTACATTTATTTATGTACTGTATTAATACCCTTGTTTAGAAAGAGTATCACAATTTTGAGTGGATCATTCAAATGCGCCAATTCTGACGAGGACGGTGGATAGGAGTTTGGAGTTTGGGCCATGCAAAAAGCCATTTGCCAAAATCAATACATTTATTTAGACCGCAGGCCAGAGAGCAGGCATGCAGGCAGGCAGGCAGGAGGCCAAAAGCTAAAGCCAAAAACCAAATCAAATACTCGTCTACGAGCGAACACGAGAACGAGAACAAGCGACCCACAAATGTATTTAGCATTTGGTGGAGCATTTTCTAGTGCAGCCAAATATTGTAAAGGTAACTTGACCACCGGTTACTCCATCCTCCATCCGCCATCCGCCATCCTCCATGCTCTACTCTACATCTGCATCTGTGTGCCTGCATTGCTGCTGGTTCTGGGTCTGTTGTAGCGACTGCCTATTTGGTTGTGGCCAAATCGTTTTACGCTTTGTTGCCGCCAGGCATTCCGGCCCCAGCCAGCCAGGATGCAAATATGTGCAAAGGCTTAACGTATCCAATAATGCCAGAGTTGGAGTAGGAGCAGGAGCAGGAGATGGAGTTGGAGCAGAATGCCAGGAGATGGAGCCACAGTCGAAGCTGATGGACAAAGCTCTCTGGAGCTCAACCCGTCATCATTGGACATTGTTGGACGTAAGCAGCTCAGTCGCTCAGTTGCTTAGCTGCTCATCATCTATTCGGTTGATTTTGATACCCTGTATAAAAGGCCTTGCTTATGGGGTAAATTCTCTTACTTATCTGATAAATGGAATGTATAAATTTCTCTGGTTCCTTCTCTGTTTATCCATCATCTTGTGCTGTAATTATTTTTTTGCAGCTAGTAGAAGGAATACAATGGATCAGAAATGAGAGATTATCCATGAATTATGGATTGATTATGGATGGCAATCAAAACAAAATAATGTGTCGAGGGTATCTAGGGGTCGTTATAGCGTCCTGTGGCAACATTCGTGGTGGAACTTTACCACGTGCCGGGTGCGGCTTAAAGCCCAACAACTTCATTTGATCTCTGAGGGCCATACAGTTCTGAGTTCTCTTATTTCTCCTCTCTGCCCTGTGGAGTGCAACAATGTTGCTGCTGCTGCTGCTGCTGTGGGTCTCCGTGGTGCTGCTGGTGTGGTGGTGCGATTTATATCGCTGGACTTAAATGTCATTACCAGCTAAATGCCTTTAAATAGCCCACATCCATATCCACTGACCAGTTGGCGCCAGTCAAAAGTGCCATGCGGCCCACCCGTCGAGCAGGCCGTCGAGGCTCAAGCGGCAGCCGGATCGGGTTCGGATTCGGATTCGGTACTCAATTGTGGCCCAGAGCCATGAGCCCGGGCAGACGCATTTATCATCCCGACCCGTGACGCGCCTGTCGCCTTCAATTACACGCAAATTATTTTGCGCTCAGCGAGCGGCACCTGTGGTCGGGGCTGGCAGTTTGCCTGCAACTTTTAGGGTGTTGGGTGGGGGGAATGGGATGCAGCGTCTGCCAGGAGGAGTGATCAATCTGCCTTGCGTCAAACGGTGGCTAACTGATGGCAGTGATGCTCCAGTTCAAACGGCATCCCAGGCAGCGATTAAAATTGATTGATCAATGCTCTAATACTCCTCCTAATACACGTACAGAACACGCACCAAACGATTTATCAGAAGTGGACAACCAACTGGCAAGGTGTTATCTTCATCTGCGATCCCAGTTCTTAGAGCTAGAGATACTTAGATGGAGAGATGGAGTTCTGGACAGCTGAACAGTGAAAAATGCAGGAAGAGTAGCAACAAAAATCACCAGAATGCAGAATGCTTTAATAGAGGCAAAAGAAATTCCCTAACCGCTCTTACAGTATGCCCAAAAGGTGTTCTGGCAGATTTTAACTAAAGATTAGAAAATATTTTCCCTTTTATGGCTATTATGATTATTTAATTCCAATGAGAGCATCTAATCATAGAAAAAATCCATTCTGTTGCCCATTGAAAATCATAAAGAACTAAAGGACACCTGTCTCTGGGTAGCAAAACTATTCTTTACCATTCGTTTTCGTACTTATATCGCATTCATTCATTCATTGGGGAATCGTTTCTCTTAATTGTCCACTAAAATATGCGCCAGGGGCTGGGGCTGGGGCTGGGTCTGGGTCTGGGGCCGCACCGCGCCGCTGGCCGAATGCTCTTGAGTCGAGAGCTATGCAAATACTTGACGTTGGCCTCGAGTGCCCGACGGACTGCAGTCTCCCCCACTCTCCCTGCTCCCTCTTCTCTAATTAAACAATACAAATGCGGATTCAAAGTAGAATTCGGCGGGCCGTTGGTAGACAAAGACACAAATTCCGAACTGCATAGCTGAGGCGGCAAGTTTTCGGGATTGGAATTCGGGTAACTTGGGTGCTGCTTCGTCAACAATTTTGTAATTACTTTGGAGTGAGTCGCATGCAAATGCAGGAGTAGCTGCAGCAGCAGAAGGAGGGAGGAGGATTAGCGCCTGGAATTTTATAATTAATCGGCAATGTTTTCCCACACGTAACTTTATTCACAACCAGCCATCCCTAACATCTATGAACTCGTCCCGCTCCTCGTCAAAGTCCGCCGCCAAGGCATCCAAGGCATCCTCCGGTTCGTCGTGGCGCGAGTAATGATTGAAAATCATGTCCCGATGCGCTGGCATCACCTTGCCGCTCTCGCAGCCGTGCATATCCTCGTACGTGATTTCGCCATGACCCATGCCTCCCATCCCACCGCCGCCGCCGCCGCCGCCCATGTCAAAGCTGCCATAACCACCGCCACTGCCACCGCCGATGATTCCTCCTCCCTTTCCGTGTGTGGAGTAGCCGAGCACTTTGTAGACGGTTTGCTTGATCCCTCCGCCCCCGCCACCGCCACCGTGGGAACCATGATGCGCCTTGTACACCGTGTGGGTGTGATGGTGGGTCTTCACCTTGACGGGCACATGGATGATGAGGCGGCGGTGAGCGATGCGGCGTGCCTCCAGCCCTGTGGCCGCCAGCAGCAGCATCAGAGCCAAGATATTTCCGGTTAACGGAGGTCGCTGCGGTCTTAGCTGTTCAGAAAGGTAGACAAATGCAAACAAAGAGAGCAGCTTTAAGAGAGAAATGCACTCAGAGCGGAGCCACGCAGCTGTAGCACCTGCCGTTATGAGTACAGTGAAGGGTCAACTGAAGTTGGTTCGGTTCCATGGTAATCCCACTGCATAAATAACGAATTTCGCTTGAAATTTGACTCACTTTGGTCATTCAGTATTTGTTTAGTGGGTCCTTTGGTTAGTCCTTTAATTAATCCAGCAAGCTTATCCCACTCTCTGACCACCGATTGGCGCGCGTTCGCTTTTTACACTGTGTGGCCCGTCGGGGATCCATGGGGCTTTTATATGAAGCGCGCATGTAATCAGGTTCAGTGCACCATGGCCGCGGCATGTGGCGTACTTTGCGGTCTCCCATCCATCCAACCATCCATCCATCCATCCATCATTATCATCACCGTCGGGCAGTAGCAGCAGGAGTGTCGATTGCATTTCCATGCAGCTTCCATGGGCCGCCAACATTTGCATGTGCACCACATTACAGCAGCAGCAGCAGCAGCAGCACAGTCGCGTCCCGAGTTACGTGTGTTTAATTATTGGCTTACATGAGGTGGCAGGGGGGGTGGGCGCCGGCTAATGCTGCTGCTGCTCATTCGTGCGCTCCGAAAAAGCCGGCAAAAACAATTTTCGCCACAGCTTCTGCTCTGCATCAGTGTCGTACACCCTAAACGGAAGCCACAATTGGTGACTGGCGCTGTAAGCCTATATGGTAATGGTAATGCTCGGCGCTGGAATCTCACATACCAAACATTGCAATCCAATCCAATCCGATTCGAACCGTTTCGATCCACCCTCCACCAATTCACTTTGTTCAACATTTTATGCAATGCCGCGAAATGCGGAAAAGACATAGATTCGAGCTCGTCTTTGCCTTTGCCTTTGTTTACCACTTAACCATGATTACTAACGTAATTAGCTGGCAAGCATGTGAGAGCATGTGTGCACTTCGCGGGGGGGGGGGGCATATCTCTACATGTGTATGTGTGTGTATTAAAAAGTATATTGCGTATTAACATATGCATTTCATTGCGCTGCGATCGATTACATTTGCATTATTATGTTGGACAAGCGTTCACCTACTTCGAAAGGGTTGCTAAATGGATGAACATGGCTGTTAAGTGAGTGTGATAGCAGCTGTCAACGTAATATGGGGACAGCAGTGTGATATACCTCTGATCTCTCTCTCTCTCTCTCTCTTGTAACGATATCCTATGGGAGAGAGCTGTTCTGTTATCTTTACGAGAGAGTGTGATGCAGGATAAACTGCAGATGGAGAGCAGCACAGTTAAGTGCAAAAGTGTTGTGTGCCTAGGTTATGATCTTTGTTAATTTGTTTGTTTCAACTTAATATCCAAGCCAATCAAATAATCCCCCAGGATAACTAGCTACACTTCGCATGCCATA